CTCTCATTCTCTCTGTCTCAAATAAATAAATAAAATCTTTAAAAAAATAAAAAATAAATAAAAAATAAGGTCCTAATTCCAAATCTTACTCATATAGTCTCCTTTAGCTTATTTTTTTCCGAAGGCTTTTGTGTGTGTGTGGGGGGGGATGTTCAAACATTTAAAAACAGAGAAAAAATAATACGATGACCCCCTGTCACCCAGCTTCAATAATTATCAACATAATCTTGCTCCATCTATCCCCCCACCCACTTCTCCCCATTACACCTCCTGTACTGGATGATTTCCAAGCACGTGTTAGACATCATATTGTTTAACCCATAGATATTTCCGTACTCATCTCTAATGAGCATGTTAGCATAACCATACTACCATGATCACAACTAAAAATAAATAACTCACTCCTTAGTATCATCAAATATCCAGTCGGTGTTAATATTTTCCCAACTGTGTCATACATTGATTTAATCTAAAACAACGCGCACATACTGAATTTGGTTCATATGGCTCTTAAATGTCTTTTATTTCATAGGTTCTATCTCCCCTCTTTTTCCTTGTGATTCATTTGTTGAAGAAAGCAAGTTATTTATTCTACAGTGTCTTCCAGATTTGGGATTTTGCTGATTACATCTTAATGGTGGTGTTTACATGTAGTAAAGCTCCTTTACACATTAAATCTTATACAGAATCCCAAAACACAAAAGAAGATGAAAAACCAAACTGCTCTGGTTGAATCAGAATGAGGGACTTGGAGTGGGGATCTGTCAGCCTCCCCTCCCCTCTCCTCTTGGGGTACTTCCAAGAAACAAACTACAGGGGACACAGTTTAAAAACCACTAGCCAGGATAGCTTGTGTGTGTGTGTGTGTGTGTACCACATGTTCAAAGCTCAGGACTGCCCTATCTTTTTTTGGCTCTGATTACTCTGATAAATTCCTATCTGGGACAGTGACATAATACACAAAGGTGTTCAGGGTTATGGCAAATTCAAATTCGCTCAGACTCTTACCAGAGGGTACACAAGCCCAGTCTTTCTCTGCCCTAGGGATTCTTACAAAGAGCTCCGAGGCTACATGCCACCTACGTCCCCTATGAGTGTGGTAGGACGAGGCCCTTTCTCCCCTCTCCTTAATAGGACTCAGGTGCCCTCTTCCTTTAGTCTAAAGTCACAACTTCTCATGATCTCAAGGATCTCTGGCTCTGAGCGCTGGGGAACCCCTGACCTTTGGGCATTTTAGCTGGAGCAGCCCCTGGAGTGCTAACCAAGTTTTAAAGATTCAGTGCTTGCCTTCAGAGAGTTTACAGCTATGCGGCGAAATAAAGCAAGAGCCCTTTGGGTAATTAACACCAAGTGCAGTAAGAGTGATGAGGAGGGAGGGTTCAGATCTCATTACACAATCTGGAAGGCGATGGAAGAGGGTCTCAATTCTTTTTTAAAATATTTTATTTATTTATTTATTTGAGTGGGGAGCAGAGGGAGAGGGACAAGTAGACTCTGAGATGAGCGCGGATCCTGATGCGAAGATCCATCCCATGATCCCCGAGATTATAACCTGAGCCAAAACCAAGAGTCTTAACTGAGTCAGATGTTTGAGCCACCTGGGTGCCCCCAGGGTCTCAATTCTGATATAAGACTGGTGAGGGGAGGGGTGCCTGGGTGGCTCAGTCGTTAGGCGTCTGCCTTCGGCTTGGGTCATGGTCCCGGGGTCCTGGGATCAGGCCGAGTCAAGCCCCACATCTGGCTCCCTGCTCAGCGGGAAGCCTGCTTCTCCCTCTCCCGCTCCCCCTGCTTGTGTTCCCTCTCTCGCTGTGTCTCTCTCTGTCAAATAAATAAATAAAATCTTTAAAAAATAAAAAAAAAGTTGCCTTTAAAAAAAAAAAAAAGACTGGTGAGGGGAGAGTACTGATGCAGGAAAATGCTAAGCATGCCCAAGGACTAAAGAATCAATCTGATCAACTGGAAGGAGGATTCACGGTAGGGGGTGGGACATTTTGCCTGAGAACATGATTAGGAAAGGAAATGTGATGCTGAAATATATAAAATGGGGGCTGGCTCAGTCAGAAGAGAGTGTGACTCTTGATCTCAAGGTCATGAGTTCAAGCCCCACGTTGGGTATAGAGATTACTTAAATAAATAAAAATTTT